GTTCGCCTGGCTTGGCTTCGGCGTGGATTTAATACGTTTACCCACTGTGCTCCATAAGAGGGCAAAAAAAGGATAGACTTCCATATTGTGTTCGTCTTTAATGTTATTAAATAATGTCGAGACATCTTATTGATTTGCAAAATACGGGGAATCTACTAAGAGCGACACGGTTCAACGCATTTAACCTGCTATATTACTTCACAGATGAAAAAGTTTTAAGCGTCGAAAACAAAACTGTTGTGTATTTTTGGAAAACGGGATCTGAGTTTTTGAGCTGTTCGTTTTACAAAAAAAAATAAAAAATAGAATAAAAAATCAGAGATAAAAATATATGGTGTGAAAAAGAGAAATAGAAGCATCTAGTTATAATAAAAGAAAAATACACATTGTCCATCTGAGATCTATCTTGACATAAGATTAACTAACCATTCACTTCAATATATATACGATTTCAAAACTCTATTTCATCAAAATAATTTTTGAAAAATATGTAAAAAGGTGGTGACCTTTTGTTGGATAGAGCAGGCGCACTGTTCGTGTCAAGTTAGTACACTTAACTCAATTTTAATGCAGACACAACATAGAAGATGTAGGGGGTGGGGGTATATTTAGTCTTCAAACCCGTCGAACTCATCAAACAGTCGAGACAGAGTGGACCTTGTGACCACCCACATATTAAATGTAGAGCAAAGAACGCGAATCTTTAAATTTCGCACCAGAGGGATATTTGCTTGTTTAATTCCAATCTAAACACCTTGAACTAAGCTGGACAATACGCTTTATCCAGTAGTCACCGGTGTTGATTCGGTGTAGACGTGTCAACTTTCTCTTGGCCGGAGATAATTAGCTCAAACCAACTCCTGACACGCTGACCACTGGTCTTCATTTTCATCGGCCACTGTTTGTTTGGAAGGGGTCTAACGGTGTAGTTGACTTAAAGAGCTTTTCATTAAACTGTGAAGTAAAGTAACCCACTACAGATAGTGAGACTGTGCCTGAGGATGTGCACTGTATTGCTATTCATCTAGCCACCTTTCCTTTGACTGATTGGCTATTTAAAGTTTAGCGCCTTTGAAAGAGAGGCGGGGCTTACTCGCGTTCAATACGTAAACTCAACCAATTTTTTCCTAATGAGAGGGGACAATTAGGTAAAATTACAAAGCTGAATCTTCTACTGTTGCTTTTATTATAACTATGCATGTGCATCAAAGAGATAGATGTGTACTTTATAAGTAAAACTACTTTAAGTTTGGTTAGAAAAAAATGGATCGGAATTTTAACAAATTGTTTTGTTGTCTGGGATAAAAGAGAATATAACCATCATACCTGGAAAGTAGACACGTTTTGTTGTTTAATGAAAAGAAAAAGAAAACCATTCCATTAGGTGGGTAGAATAATGGCACGTTTGTCACTGGATCGCGTAAAAGTCAATGGGCAACGAAAAATCACGCCCTTTCACCTCAAAGTCAATATTTTGAATAATTTTGTAAATTAAATACATTCATGCGAAATATACAATAGACGTGTAGGTTAGGGTTAGGTGAAGCGCCGTTTTGCTGGTAAATACCAATTGCTAATTCAAAAATTGAAAGCAAAATGGCACGGGAAGCTCAAATAAGTTTGCTGTTAAACTTATGTTCTATTTACCTACTGGAGACATTATGAACATTAGACGGACGGCGAAGAAACTGCTCAAATATCTACTTTCACTCTGCCAACATCCGTCATAACCCAATCATATATTATTCCAAGCGACCACGATTGCGAATTAATGTGCAAATGCGTGAAAACAACATGTGGCCGCGTTATAATGCCGTCAATCGTTGTTTTAATTTTGGAAAAGGAGCAGAATCGCTTAGCAAGAGATGTTTGGTCCCGTATTGATATACAGCGCCATCGAGTCTGGGTTATTATAATAGCTATTGTCATGAAGAAAATAACTGTCAGTGGTAAACCAGGCTGTGTGTTGAGACGCAGTCGTCATAACCACTTAAATAGAGATAGTCGTAGATTTCAACTCCAGTAGCTACTAACAATGGGCGGTTGGGGTGAGCAAAGGGGAACACAGTGCGTCCAAAATTGTTTCACAAGAGATTTGAGATTATTTAGATTATTAAGACCCCTTTGCAAACAGTCTAATCCTGTAAAAGCCTTCCAATAGCGATTGCTTGTCTGCTTTATTTGCAACAAGATAGCGTGAAAAGTGCGGGCGATTTGACAAAGCGAAGGATCGAACCCTTGATCTAAGAAGACTACTCCCTTAAGTGGAGTAAACAGAAGACAAACAATAGATTCTACCACGGGGAGGGTGGCCTAATCCAACGGGAGCCAAAACATCCCGCGTGCGCTATTAATTATTTATTGTTTCACCTCTCTATTATCGCGATTGTTTATCGTAAGAATCCTTTAGATCCCATCCGATTGGCCGATTATGTTTATTGACTAATTAAAATGTATAGCACCAAATTGTTAATCACCTTATAAAACGTGTGTTGTCCGCTGATTGACATCAAGAACTTCTTATTTCCCTGTGGTTTGCGTGGGGAGGTTTTGTCATGTCGCAGGTATTTCGATTTTTCCACCCCGTCACCATGATACCAACGCTGACTTAACTAATTAAGATGTTTGGCGAAAGTAATTGCTAAGACAACAGCGGGGCAGCCCGAGCCGCTGAAAAAGTCCGCATAGCACCTGCTTATTCGCCACCGCATTTTTTTATTTCACGTTCGCCATACACAAGGCTCTTTTTACCGGAAAACCCCAAGTATACGCGTATATGATATAAAAGAATATACGGGTTAATGTGACGAAACAAAGGGTGTGGCGGGCGAGGCTTGTTATCAACCCACCACCAGTTATTATCCTTTATTACGGTGCCTTATCAGCCAGTGGTTTTTACACTGAATTGAGATGAACAAGGACGGAGGTAGTTAACTCATAAAGGTACCAGGTTAACATCCGTCTGATAACGATATTATAAGGATGAGATGGTGTTTATCTTCATGTTCATCTTTTCATATGTACAATTACATGGGTGCTAACGAGGACCGCCTGACTCGACTTTTTTTTTGTGACGCAACTAGTTTTTTTCTTTTCAATTTGTGTACATTAAGACGGTTCAAATTAACTGATTTCTTGATGAAACAAAGTGTGGTGCTTTTCACGTGTTATAAATAAGTTATTTACCAAACTTCATCCGGGTAACAGTTGACACCATGCCGATCAACACTGAGGTACGTAAAAATCCACCTTTTTTTTAAAGAAAAAAATTCCACATATGGTAAAGGAATTATTACATTACGCTTGTTCATTTACTGTGTCAATCCGTTTGCCCCAACAAATATTTGATCGAGTCGTACGTCTAATTTGAACAGGGAATTTACTAAATTATAGCGAAAGTCAGTTGTGTTGTACACAAGTTTGTGCCTTGTAAACGTACTTGTGTGTGCTATGTGTGTCTACCCCGCCGGCTGTAGAGTATGTGTCGGTTGATATAGGAGTTTGGACAATTCACAATTTTAAAGAACTTCTAAAACACTGCAGCTAAAGCAAAGAAAAAATAGACAAACGTGAATAGATTTGAAGGACCAGCAAAACAAACAACAATTGAATAATTAAAGGAAAATATATGGTCCTACGGATCCTCATTGCCTGAAGGAGAAGAACGAGATCTGACCAGATAAGGTCGATGGTATTCGTTTATTTCCGTCAATCTACGTCAAGGTATGAGTTATGATGTACCTAAACATACGCCGCTGCAATTTCCCAACCCACCGCATTTCACGACTGTCAAATAAGAAGATTTATTAAGTTGCATGCGAAGGACTTATTAGTAATATGTTTCGAGCTGTCAAACTGTGTCACATGCAGGGTCTCGGCGAGAGCGTTATGAAAGTCACATGCCTGCCGTCTTCCCATGTGTAGTTCCCATATGTAGTAGTCCGCATTTCAAAGCTATCGAATCCCCTCCCAGCCATTTATTTATAAATATTGGTGTCTTCTTACATCAGTAATTAAAGGGAATTTGTACCTCCCGTAAACAATTCGAGGAGAACGCACACGATGCCTCTCTTCAAAGAAAATAACACATATAAAATGGAAGAGTAAAGGTGAGATTTTGGCGGATTTTGCAGTCTGTTATGTCCAATTAAACGCCTCTTGCGTCAATTTATCAAGAACGCCAGGACGTATTACGAAATGGACTGAAAAGAGCTTGTGCAAAATGTTAACTTTTTCCACATTTTTTTCATTGAGTTTTCAAACTAAATTTTCACTTCTTGGCCTAGAAAATTTTCGGGAACTGAGTGCAATTTTAGCTATGTTATTGTAACATAGAGATGCCCTGTAGATAAAAAGTACCCCAGTCTGCTTGAGTACGCTTTACGTCTTCATAGTAAGTGCTGGATTTATATGATACTGTGCTACTCCGCATGGGGCTACTGCATCTATTAAAGGCTCAATCAGACCGCAAATAAAGTAAGCTAAAGACTTAACTGATTGTCCACTTCACGTAGACTTAACAGAAACTGCCACCTGAGCTTTTTGCGGCTGACAAATTACGCTTTATACTGTACGATAATTGAAATAAAATCAACAACTTTTCTATCCTCCGGATCACGTTCCGAAGTCTCTGACTTTTGAATGTCGTAATAGTTTTTGATGCAGACGTTCGATTGGTGCAGAATGAACTGTTAAGCAGTTCATTAAACCCGCGATCTTTGTTTACTGACACAATTATCAAATAAACGCGAAATGTGTACCCCCATATATCATTCGGCCAATCACAATAACGTAATTTCCACACGTGCGCAACCGCATCGACTTAAAATCTCCATTTGATAAAGAAACCCGAACTCATTAATTTTCATTTCTATCATCAGAGGGCGCGGGCATCGCCCCGTTTTTCTCTGTCTTGTTGTTTCAAAGATGCCCTACCGTAGAACTCCATTGAATAACCAGGTACTTGAAGGTGTTGTTTATATATATATATGACTTGTGCTGTACTTTCACTTAATAAGGGACAGTAAACTGGTGCGCGTCGCTTTGAGGTTAATTAGGCACTACCTGCTTTGTGCTTCTCCCTTGATGATTCAGGGAAGACCCTGAATTTATTTAGAAAAGGTGTATATCATGATCAAAGTGTTACCGCTGTGTCAAACATTACCGGCCGGGGAATGTGTTATAAGTGTGCTAAATGGTCCAAGAACCACTTCCTCGACCAGTAGTGGACAATTGAGGGGACAATAGACACATCACAGAACGGACGATCGCGGCTTACTCTATTGTGTAACACGTAGCCAGGGGCAGTATTAAAAGCGAACAGATCGCACTGATTACAATTAACTATCAGAAAATAAGTGGTTGAAAAGACCAGAACCACACAATTACGCCATTGGCAATTATCAGTCGCGTTTGAAAGCTAAGGACAACATAGCCACGGGTTATTTGAAACCAAGAGCTCCTGGAGATTGGACAGTACTTTACTACAAGCGTGTTGGCCCACTCCGTTGCTTAACGTCAGTGCTTTAGTATATTGTCAGCCAGCGAGAGGTGAAAAGCGCGGTGTACCATGGCCCAGCTGAGCCCGATCGCGACGTCAGATACCCCACTCTCCCTCGCCGCGGCAGCATACAAGAACCGACTGCTCCAGGACGGCCAATTGGATTCGCCGAAAAAAGAGATCTTTGCGTCCGAGATGCCCTCGGCGTTCGGAGCCTACGGTGCCACAGAGGTCAGATCACACCGTTCCAATATTGATAAGGTTTTAGCCGGCGTTATAGCTCTAAGACAAATAAGTATTGATACACGAGTCTTGTTGGTGTAAGGTATTGGTTATACTGTATTAAATAGCTCCTGATCATTTCAAATGGACTCGGTGCTGTTTTAGCTAACGTGATTTTCAATACTTTTGATTTAATTTTAATTGGGAGTAGTAAGAAGACGTTCAATTAAGATTTCTTTGGCGTTCTTTAAACATAATTGTTTACATTTCGTTGAAAGCGTTCTTTATCATTTACTTCTATGCGAACCGCGCCATTTGAAAGCGCGTTTAATCAATTAAATGATTTCCTGTTTTACTCACAAATTTGTTCTTTCTCGCGTGTTTCCCATCGATGGTCGATGGTTTGTTGATGGCACGTTTAAAAAATAGTGTATTTACTTTCACAAGGATTCTGTAGCTGTAGTTTCTTAACACAACCGTGCAGTTTACAATGCATAATCACCCACGTGTAAGGAATACAGTATATACGGCCCCAGGGATCGAACATTTCTTTGGCCTTAGGAGGGGTCCTTAGTCTATTAAAACTGTATGGCCTGGTGGAGGCTGGATTTTATGGGGATCCAGGTTTTTAGTTATGTCAGGTAGTGTAGGTTTTTTTGGTATTTGTCCAATGCTGGATGAGCACCGAGTGGCAGACACGTACGTTGCCTGTCGTCGTGTGCATATTGATAGCCACTTGGTGATGACGTTCTACGGCTGAACGCGACACTTAACGAGTAGGCCTTGTTTCCTGTCTTAGCACAGCACGCTTGTGTCGCTGTTAAAGCGCAGCCACTGAGATAGGGTTGAAGGCTGGGAGAGGCAGGACTTGATGCTATTTCAGCTTACCATCGTCTACTAACTAGGAGGATAGTCGGGCTTCTTTCCCGCGTACTGTTTGATTGAATCGATTCTGATGTGTTTGTGTAAATATCGTATGTCATTCATTGAGTCACGGGTTGGCCTTGCGTAGCCTTTTTGCCGTCCGTGCCCTTACGGTCCGCCTTGCACGCCCTGCGGCACTCAGCCAGTCTGAACCTACAGCTAAATACAGAGGATTCTCGGAGGGGTTGTATCTGTATCATCTGAACAATCGTTGTTATGCATTTGCCAATGGAGGTACGTAGGTCAGCCCGCCCTCCAGCCAACAACATACATAGATCCAAATTAAGACTACTTTAGTGGTCCTCATAATAGATTGCTGTTGTTTTGTTTCGGGGGGCTATTTGGCAATCGATGGTAAATTTCACGTTGTGTTTTTGTTTCTGTTTTATAGGACAGGCGAACCGACTTTGTGGCTCACACCAGTTTAGCACAGCTGGGGGTGAGCTCCGTAGGATCTTCATCTTTCTCCACGGCTCCCCGTCTCTCACACAACCCCAGCACGGACTTCCAACCGCCTTACTTTCCACCACCCTACCACAACCTACCGCCACAACAGGACTTCCATCACCATGCCGTGAATGCAGCAGACCCTTACTCTCACTTCGCCAACAGTTTTCAACCACACCACCAGTACCCACAGCTCCAAGACTCCAGGAGTGTACTACGGCGGGATGACCCGCTCTCACAAATGCACCCCGCCCTGCCGGGACCCTACGACCGCAGGCTGTACAGTGGACACACCGTACCCCGGCCCGACCTTCACGGAGCTCATACACACGGCCTAGACCAGGAAACAGCTCTCAGTCTTCATGGATCCTCCATGTTGGGAATCGAGGATGGACAGGTAAGACGGGGATTTTATTATTATTTTGCAGCTGATATTTATTCATGTAGGTCATGCTTCTAGATTTTTTTATTTTGATTGCTCCGGTATGAAAAAAGGACACTTAAAGAATGGTTTCCCAAACTGTTACTTAACACACAAAAAATGCCGTAAAAATTAGTAAATTTGGAAAAAAAACCCTCTTAAAAGAAGACAACCATATGTATTAGAAAACTACCCTTGAATTGTTGGATATATGTAGCTTTAAGTGCCCAGATTGGAGTGACTTCAGTGGATGAAAGTGGAGTAATTTTTAACTCCAGCCCTCACCCCCTTCCATACCAACTTGTGTAACTTCAGACCTCGGCGAATAAAAATAGTTTCTTGGCTGTGAACTTGTCTGAAGATAACCAAGAACAAAAAATATCTATGCAGGAATTCAATATGGCCGCTCCATGCCTTTGACCTCAAAAAAACTCCAAGGTGTCTTATTTATGGATATTTTCCTTTTTATCTGATAGGGTTAAAATACAGTCTCTGTGTACGAAAAAAGTGCGAGTGGTGGTGCGACGTTGTTAGGCTAAAAGTCTGATTAATTCTGTCAGCAGCAAGGGAGAAGTAATTGTTGAATTGAACTAGTTGTTATTTGAATCCCCTCAATTAAAAATATTCAATTCTTACTGATTTCCCTACTCTGTATAAACTTATAAACACGATTCGATTCAACGGAGAATAATTTGAGGTAGACCACGCGTCTTATGTCGCATGCAATATCCATGAAATCCGAAGAAAAACATGGTTTTATATTCCTTTCATTTTGTGTTATTTTCACTAATTGCATGAAGTGTGATGTTACATGGCATCATGTCAGAAAGTAGGAGAAGTTGTATTTTCCTTCTTTGCTTCTTCGCTGTTTAAGTCTTGTACTCCCTACGATTCAAAATTATTATAATTTAGGCAGGCAAATAATCGGAACGATAAAGGCACACGCAGACGCTATCGAAAGAACCCTTTAACTGACAGGAAGCGGCCATTTTCTTTTTTGTACACAACTTTTATTTGATAACTCTGAATTATTTGGTTGTAAGAAAATATTTGATATCATTAGCGTACATGGAAACAACAATGTGGTGCCCGGGTGTTAGAGAAATATCCCGAGGTTGGAAGGGATAATTAACTGGGGGAGGTGAGAAACTACCTGTCTGTGGTTTCATAGTATCAATGATTTCATTTCTCGATAAGATGTAATAACGTAGTGGGGCGCTTATTAAACCAGATAAATATTTTATAATATTAGATTAGGAAGATGACTGATCATGACAGGTTGTAGCGTTCAATTTACCTGTGTTTTGGTATCAAGAGAGATGACAACATACTGTTTCGGAATTAAAAGCTATTCGTCCGTAACCGATTTTGTATTAATCTGGGCGAAATCTACCCTGTCCGGGGGTTCTCACGGTGATCTGATCTTAAGACTGTCTTGTCCGTTAATTATGCTTACGTTCTCGGAGTTGATCAGACACACATGCGTGGGTCAATCAAAAATTTTGATCACCTTTCATGATGTGGATCAAGCCTATAAAACTAGAGATATAAAATAAATAAAACGAGATTTAAATTGGCATATAGAAATCAAATCAGAACATTTTAAGACTTATTGAAAAAGGCACAGCTTATCATAATAAAACAAAACTTATTTAAATATGTATATTATTGGAAGCTTGTGGACGGCGAAAATCTTAATTCAGTCCGTTCTTATCACTCAACCTACTAGGCAAGTCAATTACCCAAAATTACATCCAGATATTTACAGAGTGTCGAGATTCTCTCATGTGAAAAAATTCGGATTTTTGATTGATCGTTGAGGGGATCAGGTGACCAAGACTTCAAAGGAGAAATAGGCATTGTTTTAAGAAATGAACATTTGATCCAGTTCGAAATCTAGCTCAAACCTCTTGAATAAAGCCGTCGAGTTTTTGCCCTGTGTTTATTTGTGCGTGGTGAGGCCGGGCATACAGATATGTGGGGCCCACTTTTAACTTTCACTTCTAGATTTACTTGAAAACCCAATAACTGATGTAAGGTGAATGTCGGACGTCTAATCAGAGGTGTAAAATATATAAACGCGCTGCTCAGATCAAAGCCAAAATTAATGGCGGTTTAAGTTCTCATCTGGACCTTTACCTATATGTTTTCGCTTTTTTCGCTCTTTAAACGTCCCATAAATTTGTGCTGCTAGTGAGTAAGTATATGTTATGCTTACTTTTACAGACGGGCGGGTTTTGAGTCAGATATATAAATTCGGGTAGGCGACCGAACAGGATCTCCTAATTACGGTGTGTTACGCGAGGTAAAGCCCAAATTAAGTGAATTCAATGGCAGGCGCATCGAATTCAAATAAGAGGTTCATTCCGAATTTTAGACATTGGCATTCTTTTTTTCTTGTCGAAGAGATGCATAAACAGTCGCAATACTTGTAATAACATTATGTGTGGCAACTTTTCTGTATTTTATAAGGCTGGTAATTGCGTTTATTGTGGCTTGCTTTGAGTAACACTACGCCGAAGAGACACACTTCTCTCAATTCTTAATGAAAAGTGCAAAAGGCCGGATACTCGAGAACAGAAGAATGTTATTTTTATTATTATTTGAGCGTAGATAAACCTTGTTTAATAATAGGACATCTAGCAATTAGAACCACAGTAGTGAAAATATGGGTAGGTTGGGGATTTTTTTGTAAAAAATAAGGTTTTTTTAAATTGTTTTATTACAAGAAACGCGTTTAAATTTATGTTCTTCATCAAAATACGATCATCTTAATTCGGCGTGAAATATTTTTGAACTAAATTAAGTAGATTGTAAACCACTCATTAAATATTTATTTTTATGAACCTGGAAAATTAAGTTTTTGCACAATATTTATTCGCTTATAAATTCAACGAACATAATTTAGAACTCATTTCAACAAAGGTCAAATTGAATAGTTTAAGACATGTTTTTATTTATATATTTTTTTGTTCTCAACTTGTTGGCGGGGTAAGGATATGTATTTAAAGATTGGAAAATTGCAGTGTGATAAATCTGATCTTAACTATTCTCATTTTATTCAAAATAGATGAAGAATAAATATTAATAGACAAATAAATACGTGGAAAATTGCAGAAAGCTGCGAAAGAAAAATAAAAACGGATAAAAGTTGATTATTATGTCTAGCGTACTAAAACCCTGCATTTGATCTCAAACAGATGGCAATAAGTCTCCTTGAAAGGGTAACAATTTCTTGGACAATAGTTTGTGAACACGTCAGGTGTTACACAAGAGCATGCCTCCGCCTTACCAAGGATTACATGGTAGTTGTCCAAAATAAGAGGGCACAATAGCTTTTCATCGGAGGTGTTGAAAACTGTAGTCTAACAGCAATGAACTGTTAGTTGCAGTGAGGAAGAAAAACAAAGCATTGCTCAACTCTCAATGCCCAGGTTGAAATTAGGTGTTTGCAATTACATTTGAAATGTAATGCAACCCAGCTTATCCGCCCCTACCTATATATAAATGGCACCGAAACATTGAAAAACACAGTGCATCGGGGGCTGGCAAACATATTCTTGTATTGACAGTGAAATCAAGTTTAGCCGTAGTGCGTTTTCACTGTTAAATTGTTAAAGCACGGCATTTTGTGTGGCTTATTAAGTTATTTCCCTGATTTAATAAAACTCGAGTAGTACATATTTAATAAAGTCTTTGATAAGCAGAATTTCATGAGCCGTGGTGCATGAAAGAGGCGAGATCGATTGCTTTGTTTTATTCTCAGATCGACCAGATGCATCTTTCAAACATGGTAAAAAGTATGCAGTGTTGACATTTGAACCTGGGTAACTGTATAACTGAATAAAATGTCTAGACAGACATTGCCAATAATTTTATTCTGCAAAATGAAAGCGAGTGAGATTTTTATCACGTGACCAGGGACGCTGATCTACAAAATACACAGTCAAATGCATTCAAATGTTGGTATTTCTTTATTTCATCTGACTGGTAATTTTCTTTGAGAATTTCCTCCTTTCACTGGGAGACTTAAGCATGCACATTGTAGTGACAGTAAAATCGTTGTAAACTGTCGCCCTTCTGTTACCCAGATGGTGCGAATGTAGCTTGTAAAATAACGCTAATTTGACAAACTCTCTAGTTAATGATTAATATTACACAACACGCTTGAGCAGGGCTAATGTTGAATATAAGAATCAAATCAATAGAGCCGGGGCTTTATCTCCATTAGAAGCAATTGAATGAGCCCTTGATTATTGTCTGTTTCAGCGAAATGATATAGGAAAGGGAAGAGAAAGTTCATTCAAATTTTACGCATTGATTGACTGATACTCTCAATCTCGATGAAATGATATTTAGGAAAATCAGGAGTAAATTAAAGGTCGACGAACCTTACTGATATGATCTTTGTCTGTTAGACGAGCGATTCATTATTATCATCTGTAAATGACTGAAGGAGGAAGGAACACTATCATTCGTAAAATTGATCACATCTAGATAGAGGGATACATCTAGATAGAAGGATTTAATTATTGACGACTTATATAGCTTCTGACAGAAAATAATTCAGATATCCCGTTTTTGTAATTTATAGCATGTAGTGTTCGCGTATTGATAGCAGAAATGAACATGGGAAGCCAGTATGTTTTTGGTAATGGTAAAGTAACATGTATTTGGTTGGTTACATTTGACAGCAGCTATCAAAACAAAAACATAGCCATCGGGGAATCGGGAAGATAACTCGGATTTCTTTGAGAAGGCAGTCGGTGCAAATTGTATTCGAAGCCATGAACAAACCCAACAAAATATTATTCCAATATTATTACATCAGTGTCGTTGAATGAAATTTTTTAGGTTTAAAATTCATGTTTGCAATTATTTGATAGGGGTGCCATTTTACTTTGTTCCTGGAATTCTTGGATATATTTCTGGCATTTAGTGTGTCACTACAACATGCTGTTAGTATCCAGATCTAAAATAGCATCTTTTTGGCCTGAAGCAGACGATCGTTCGCTTAGTATTTTAGCCTGGGTGAGGGAGTGCATTGCGAGCTACCTGCAGTTTTAACATCAGTGTTTTGGTCCACGATCAACCCTCCTTTTGTCTGCGCTAATCCCCCTTTTCAGCGCTTGTGTATTTTGTCAGATGATGAATAATTAGACTTGATCGACGAGGTGGAGATAGCCCAATCTTCCTCCTACATCAAAGTAGCGCGCCGTACCACGGTTTTTGTACGCGTTCTCCCTAAAAAATTCGAATTATTTTTCTTCATTGAGGAGATAAAGTTTAGACCCCTGCAAAGAGCCTATTACGCTAATTAAGCTTTCAAAACAAGGAACAGAAGGAGAGTAGGCCATTCGGTACACTCAAGTTTTCTTTTACCGTCAGTGAAATCACATAAAAAATCCAATTTCATACGTCTGTAGTCCTAATCTGGTTATGAAGGATGTACATACGAGTAAGGTTTTATAATTGGGTTAAGTACAACTTCTGAAGAGTTCTATTACAAATACGTATTGCCCCTTCTGTGGTGAATTTAATCACCAACAAGTAGATACTTTTCCGAAGTTTTAAGTAACACCGAATATTGACACAAGGTCTGTCTAAATAGAAATCGGCCGGATCAACTGGCCACTAAACGCTGCCCAATTAAAGTGGACACACTTAATTAATAGGTCATATGGCACTGATTCAAGTTCCAGACTGATATGAAATACTTTTGAAACGCACAAAACATTGGTTTGATTTCTGCGCTCCTTGGGACAGATGTATAAAAAACAATATTGTAGAAAAACCATAGCGACTCGGTATCGGTAGTGTGAGTCCGTAGCAATTTGCGAAAAGAAAGGTAATTAAACTGGCACCTGATCTAAGGCTTTGGTTTTAATGCCAATTAAATACGAGAGATACATTTTGCATAAGAAGAAGCTCGAGTTTCCAGGGATCAAAGAGTGACGGGGTGCTAGAATGACGACCCCAATTTTCGAAGATTTAACCCCGATCCATCGACAAATAATGGTGTCAAAACTTATTTTTATTAACAGAAGTTTGATTTTCAGCCGTGCAAGCCCCTGTTGCCTTAACATGTTGCACGCTGAAAAAGTGTATATTTTAGGTGCTTTCTTACTCGTATAGTTGTTATAGTTCACAGAGGAATTTCGTTAGGCAAACATTAGGAATGACAATGCCCCCGGGATGTCAATTAATATCGAGGTTATGAAAAACAGTACAATGTTTCAATCTTAATGATTCCCATGTTTCTCAGAAGGGTTCTTAATTCCAGTGCAAAAGACTGCTGTATTTTTATGACGAATCACAAGACACATATATCGGTTCACTGTCAAAATATTTTTAATTATTCACGAAATCAATTTTTTTGGCTTGCAGGTAAATGCGTGTGAAAAAGTGTACTAAATGAAATAGCACGTAACATTAACACGAAACATTATTCATTTGATAAATTAAGAGAAAAATGGCTCTGACTAAAATCAAGCGATGAAAATAAATGGTCAATACTCATTTTTGATTAAGATAGTAATTTTATGTATCAAAACTTTTACCTATACTCAAGTTATTTTATTTATCCTAGCTCTTAATTTATAGTCAATATCAGATATCTATCATGCTCTTAAAATACAAAAATTATTTTCTTCATTACTTTTCGTATCTTAATTTAAATGTACTTTTTACAGGGTTCAGTCGATGACTCTGGCAATTATATACCAGGCGATCATAGCTCAGTCATTCGCAAAGGTAAGTGGAATTTAGTCTTGCATCAGTAGTTTGGTATTGGAAGTGAGCCATCGGAGCAACTGCACCATAAGTTAGTCATATCCTGTGGTACTTTAGGAGGACTGAAATCGGTTCTCCATAATTATTGGGCTATTGCAATAAACATTTTAAGCTTGAGGACCATTTTTAGGCATACGATTTTTTCATCGCCCAAAGTTTTACATGACACAGTTAAATACAAATTTACTGAGTAATTTAAACAACCTTGAGAGAGATATCTTGTTAATTTTTTTTTTTTTTTTTTTGCAATAAATTAATATCTAAAATATCATTTCGGTGCACGTCCGATTTAAACCAAAGATACCTGAGCTAAAATAAATACTGTTAGAATAAGATAAAAATTTATTTAACACAGCCGGTAGCTTTCCCTCGTCTTCCCAACTGCTCGCTATTGTCCGTTCGTTTTGTCCATCCAAATAGGCCTTTCCTATGCTAACATGACCTTGCGGTTGTGTCACGTCCATTCTTTATAAGCAAAAATTCCCGAAATTGGAATCAATGATTTTCAATATTCCAACCCAAGTAGAAAACTATGTTATGTCGATACCACTAGACGTTGTTTGGAATAAAACTCGTCTGCATACAGATAAATATACTTTTCGCTTTTTAAAACGCTGGGAGTTCACAAATGCCACGATGATTTATTGGTCTTTCCTTTTATATTCAGGTTTTACTTTTGAAACGTCTGCTAATGTTTGAGTAGATACGCGGTTTCTATGAGCTAGCATAGGTTTTTATTGATTTCGCTCATCCAGATCTTCCTCCTAAGATTAGCACAGCAATTTGCTACCGTTGTTGTAACATAGGTGGATCTTAATGCACTAGCCTTGCAACAAGAAGCGCGCACTATGTACAAACAAATGGCAAATCCATGTTTGAGGAATCACGGTGCAAAATGAGACACAATAGATAATCCCCTTCGTATTGTACTCGATTGAGGGCTCTTGTTATTTCGGTAGCCTCCTTTGGCATAAGGGGACATTTTGATGCCACATGTGTATTCGAGAGGCAGTTGTTAATAAAGTTGCTTAGAGATATTTGTTTGTCATCGAGGTGGCGTGCGCCTATTCACGATTTGGCCAATGAGCGGGAAGAGGGCGTTTTGAATCACTGAATCATATTATATGCAGTCGTCACAATTGACTTTGATTATGGTTGGAGAAGGTGCCTAGTATGTATGCCTCTTCTGCCCCGCAGCCTGCTTAAACCGCGTACTTGGTACCGACAGGTAGCATTGGGACATATTACGATCAAAACTATGTTAATGGTGACCTCTTGATTCTCTGTCATTCTTCGAAAGGCAGACGAACATGAATACAATGTGGAAAATTTGCCTGTAATTATGATAACTGTACAATGGTTAGGGTCCCTCTCCTGCCATACACAGGCGTGACCTTTGGTTTTACATGTATTGTCACTTCCCACGTGCATAGAAATCGACTAGATACGTTTATTCTTCAGCCGGACAAGTATCCAAGGCACCGTCAGACCCCTCTGCTCTTACAAACAAAACTAGCATAGTTGTATTGTTAATGGAAATAACTATCTATAGTTCTTAAATAAAGGACTGTAGTACGTGTGGTCATGCCTTCCAGCATCTTTCCAGCCATTGCAATATTTCCCAATTTCTATTTGATAACTTCATTACAAGTCCATTACACTCCTCATGTTTATTCTGGAAATGTTTTTTGAAACCCGCCGGACCACACTGGCCAATTACATCGATGAATGAAAACTTCTGGGGTGTTCGCCTTTGATAGAACTGACTCTAAGGCAATTTTTCATATTGTACTTCACAAGGAAAACATACAATTTGACGGGCCGGCTATCTACCCAAAGGCGATTGCACAATCGCATACTACAATCAATGAAAGTAGTTAAAGCATCGTTGCCCGCTGGCGTTCGAAACGCTGGGGTTACCTATTTAACAAAGCATCTAACTGACCAAAATGAAGTCTATGGGGAGAGTCTCACAATAGCCAGCGTGTTTTTAAGGCAATGAACAGGAGAAAGTTAACTTGTATCGTGTTGCAAAATTTGCTGTGGGAGGTATAGGCAGTGCCTCTGCGGTCGAATAGAAAACACTTCTAAAACTTGCTCAATTTTTTGCGGTTCTGTACTGGAAGATAGTGAATCAAGGTTACTGGAAAAAAGATATAAACCTGATTATTTTACCCTGACCTCAAAACCATTGTAGAACCTGGGTCTATGTCGGTTGCCAAGATACACAACTTGGCAGACGTCAATGCACACAGTTGTACCAAATTTTGGGAACCCAATTGGCTCTGGTAAGAATTTCCTGACCTATCACAGCAAGCGGTTCCACTGAGTCCTGGTTAGGTCCCTTTGTGTATTAGTTCTGATGTAAGAACCGAATATCTCGAATAAATGCTGCTGTTTTTGCTGCCAGGCACGAATTCAGCAAAAATTATCCCCCTGCCAGTGGCATTTTAACCAAAGTTACCGATAGTTTTGATTGGATAATGCCATTTAGTGTCCCAATAGGTCAATGCAGCGAATCGCTTTTGATTTGCAATATTTTTTTCAAGAAGAAATTCTCGACCGTACCTCTCACTGTTCCCATGCCCCGAAGGAGGTAACGCGAACCCGAAAGGTGTGATTATTCAATGAATTTGGCAGTTACGTATGACTAGCAAATTCGTATGACTTAGGTGCAAAAAGCAGATGGTTGTTACTAAAGCCATATGCAATAACGTCGTTGAAATGTACCCATATCCGATACCTAATTTGGACATGTTCCTTAGGGTCTTAAGCTTAAGGTGAATGCCTTTCGAAATAAAAATGGCGACTGTAGTACGAGTCAATAACAAGGATGGCAAATTAAAGTGAAATAAATTTTCAACGAATTTTAGACTTAAGGTGTACTGATGTGAATACAATTGTAAAATATAGATTTATAGAAATTAAATGACTTTATCGATATATTTTAATAGAAATGAATGATATTCGTTTGAGCAACAAAATACTAATGCAATATTTTAGTAGACAATTTTCAAAATGCTTATTTATATGAAATCCGCCGAGAGCAACGACTTTTCTTTCTTTCTGTGTTATATAAGTTTGTTTGCAATTCAGACAGGACTATGACCATACAGTGTATGTCTAGAAATAGTCTAATCGATAACGAACTCTAGTTTGATATTAAGCTGTTGATTTTTGTTAATATCAACGAAAATTTTGTGACCATTTAGGTAAATCGTTGTCATAAACGGAGTGAGATGCATTGTAGATGAATTAATTAAATGAAGTTTAGAGCCCCAAAACATTTTTTTGTCCAAACGAATACATTGCCTTTAAATTAATCTCCAAATAATTTTGGAATATTTTCAAACTACGAAAAAAAATAAGTAATTAAATAGAATAATAACATGTTAATGATTTTTAGATGCCAATTTTATGTTATTTTAAAAAATAAAAATTGACAAGACATCTTATGTTCTTTTCCAACCAGCGGGTAACAGAATTAAGAGCGACACCAAAGACATCGTGATCTCAGGGGTAACAGCACCTACAGACGTGTTCTGTTCAGTTCCCGGGCGGCTGTCATTACTTAGCTCTACGTCAAAATACAAAGTCACAGTGGCAGAAGTGCAACGAAGACTCTCTCCCCCAGAATGTTTGAATGCTTCCCTATTAGGAGGCGTCTTAAGAAGGTAGGTGAAGCAAAATAAAACTGTTTAGAATTTTTTTCGTTAATTTTCCAACTTGTATTTCAGGTTTTTGCAGCCATTTTTAATTAGTCGTTGCTAAAATTATTTTAAATATTTTCTCAAAAAACCTTTGAAAATTCTTTTGAATGGCACCCATACCCTCCTCGTTGGAGCAGCTTAGAAATAATATTCTTTTGATATAGTTCGTTCTTTTAAGGTCCAGAAAAACGGACCATGCAAAGAAAAAAGTTTTGTAGGTGAAACAATGTACGAATTCTTAAGTTTGTTTTTCTATTGGTTGAGTTGTCGAGAACAATTCCAATTGACTGGCAGGAAATAAGAACGGTATTCTGTAAATAACGAATCATTCACCACCCGCTCTCCATTTCTTTACAAATCCAGGGGCATGACACCATAAATAAATTTAAACCAAAGTTGCTGAGACATTCGTCAGCTAAATGTACAAATAAAGTAAAATGATATTTTACAAAATAATTATGGTACTGTATGGCCCTGTGGAATTTTGGTAAGCTGATATCTTCGAAACAATTACATGCTTGCGCGGATCAGTAACTCCGATTCCTAAATTGTCTTCCGCCATTTGCAAATTATGGGGGATAAGTCTTAGCCAATTTTTCTAGGTTTGAAATTTAGTTCGTACCTGCCGACGTTTCGGTGAACGTTGAGCTGCGTTCGGATTTAATAAAAGGAGTGGTGTATGTTTAATCCTTTTCCACTCGCCTAGTTGAGAAAAATGCGCCCTAATTGAGACATTTTTGAACACAGACACAGGGCTTTGTCTGAACTAGGTACACCAATTTACCTTTGATTTCCACTGCTGCCCTTGCTGACCCTTCAAAACCTTTTCAAAAGCTACTAATACTCCCGACTATGTAGCCAAAGAATATTTGTATTAGTGGCCAGCTAAATACTTGAACAAATTGGCGCTTTTTTGGGCCCTGGATAGAGCTCGGGCCAACCCGACTACATTTTAATATTATCTTTCGGCATCATTCCATTACTATCTTTTTTATTTGTATAAATCAAGCTGATTTAATTTTATTCAAAGTGACCAGTTGAATCATAAATTATTAATTTATCAATTTAAAATTCATTAATTATTTTTTGATTTTTTAAAAAATAACTTAAATAAATCTTTTTCTCCCACCCAAGTTGCAGAAAGCATAATTTTTTCTCCATATGAAACTGACCCTAATATTTGCATAATCAGTCTTTTCCCTAATCTGGTTAACGAACAAAAACAACCACTTACGGAGAAAAAATAAAAGCACAGGCATCGAGTGGGTCCCGGCCAAAAACGGGATTAACCATAAGAGAGGACCACGCAACACCTTTAAACACACAGTTTCTATAGTTGTGAAGTGGAATTAACACCCCTGCCCACTCCACTTCATTAGTTAGTCTGGGATGCGGCGGGACATATTTAAGTTATTAAACCACAACAATATTTGGGGCAAAACAAAAAGTTCAATAGGGACTTTTGCCCCAGAGGGTGGATCTTGTTCTAGTATCTCACTGCTACTCCAAACTCAGACATTAAGTAATCAGGTACACACTAAAAGTAAACGACAAGCCCGCCAATTACTACCGATTGAGCGCACAGAAACAGTGGACAACTGTCAAGAAGTTTTCTTGTTTTGTACTTGGTAATTTTCGTTTCGAATGCCACCCAATTCGTCCTTTATATAGGCCCATTTCTTTGTGTAAAGTATTACGGAAAGCACACACAGCATTCTTGTAAGGTAAATTTACATTAAGGGTCTATTTAGCGTTTATTTATTGGGTAAGGATCGGTGCTCCCTTGCAGCCATTTTTGATTGTGCAAACGTCACCATTATGTATTCTTGCGCGCCTTTGCTCTTTGAAGTGGTATCTAACATGCTCAGCTGTTTATTGTGCACATGTTTCCAGTTTTTCCTTTCTCTATATTTCACCCTTCCAATCGATGAACTGTTTACTTTGTTCTGTGTTTTTGCAAACTCGACTGGCGGTTATTGTAGGGACGCTGTCATCACCACTAAGCAGTGACTCCGTGAACCTAACATTGCAAACGCTTTGTTTGCTGTATATGGTAATTTTTGCTTCGTGAGCAGCTAAAGCATTAAGTAAACTCCAAAATAATGTAGCCTTCTCAGTCCTTTTGCCACAATCGCGGAGTATTGTGAAATCTCTGGATACCTCCTAATAAAGCTAGAGGATTTGGTTTGTGTAGGAGCATTATAATGAATTGTTTATACACTTCCAATATTATATGCAGGTTGCATTCAAAGCGGTTGTGCATTAGGTTTTAGTGGATGGTGCTCCCGTGATCTTTTACCTGAACACCGTGAGTTTTTACAATACCCCTTCTTAGTCATGTTTGAAAGAAGCGATCAGTTCCATTGAATTAAGTCCCATTGGAATCGAAAGGTAACCGCTTTTTAAAGGATTCATCGACGCCACGTTTTTATCACTGTGAAACTTAAAGCTGTTTACAAAACCAACGTTTTATTGCTTAATGGATTTGACTGTAAATTTCATTCATATTTCTACTCTTCGTTCATTTCAAAGGAGGGCTTCCTCCCCAAAACACGCAGTTGGCCCCAGGATGGGGCTTCTTCAATATCTCTGTTGACACTGACTACTATTGGTGAATAGAAATGTTGTTCCATTTAGTTTTGCCTTTTGTTGGCCGGGACTCAAGTGGCATAGGCATGCTTTCTTCGACAGCCAACCTGGGCTTTGTACCCCTTTACAATTTACAGAGTATCAATCGCTTGCTCCTTTTCCCTTCACTAAAGTCAATTGCTGTTTTCCCCCAGGGTTTGCTAGGGGTTTTTATGCTTCATTGGCCATTCTTATATCTACCATCCAAGAGGTCCGAAGTGTGCGTTCCGCTGACCAGTAGCTAATTCAACTATAAATTTCTTCTCCTAGTTTTGGAGTAATCCGGCATGAAATGCATTAATAATATAATGCCTTCTATGGGATGTTTTTCATAAAGATTAGAGATTTGTTATGAGGGCCATTCCATGGACTGGACAGGGGTATTGTCCGTGAAAACAAGTGGCCACTTTTATATGGGATATACGAGGAGTTTAATCAACCGCGGGACTGGACATTACTTAAATCTCTCAATTTGATGGATCTTGCACCTACTTGAGTTGGATAAGAGGGTTCGGGACCGCTTTGATGCAGCTCTTTACTTTAACCAAACATTTGAAATGCCTTAGCCACACAATTCTATATATTTAATAAGCTTAAACCTGACTATTATGCTTTTGCGGCCATTAAATATGTAATACATTCCTACACAACCCTACTTTAAATATCTACGCTGCAATTTCGTAACACTGAAATATGGCGTATAGAAAATAGAGAGTTTGATATACTGGAATCAAATTAATTAAAACGTTTTAAGATATATACAGTAGCAAATTAGCTTTTCTTTTATTCCCACTTTTCGGTCAAGGGTCATGGTTTTAATGAAAAATTTAAATTGTTTATCCCAAGAAATTCAAAACCTGTAATGAGTTTCGCTATCGTAGATTGCAATAGAGGCATTTAGACCCAATTATTTCAGAAAACCTATCTGTCGCGAAAAGATTAATCAAATTTCTCTGATTACGTTCAATTTACGGCAACTGCAAATTAACGAATCTGATAATTTGAGATGACAGTGGATGAAATTCCTCTTTGTCAAATGATCGATTAGGTGGCAGTAAACCGAGACATTGTGTTTGTTTAATCAAAATGTGTCAGTTTTGGAATATAAGAACCATTTTGGTGAACAAAAGTGCTGCAATTATTACACTGGGCTTAAGAACCATATAGTTTAGGCACGTACATGTTGATTTTATGTTTATTTAATTGTTATTCGTTTAATTGTATTTTCTTTTTGACCAAGCCTTATATTTATATTTTATGACGTATGTAGTAAGATATTTTATATTAATTGTTCAATAGTTCGTATATATTGAAATGCTACTTTTCTAGAGCAAAGTCTAAGAATGGGGGTCGGTCACTCAGGGACAAATTGGAGAAAATAGGTTTGACTTTACCAGCTGGCCGCCGTAAGGCAGCTCCAATAACTCTCTACTCCTCGGTGGTAGAAGGTAAGAGGTCACGTGACCTGCGTGACGTAGTGGGCCAATTGCAGTGACGTAGACTAGCCCAGAATTCACTAAAACACTTCGTCATCACAATTTTTTGCATAATCTAGTGCGATATTGATTACTGATTCTCTTTCATTAAAAGAGCATTAGACTACTACTATTCTGGCACCCTTGGTTTTTATGTGTTTGAGTTGCACTCTTACTACCTGTGTTTCATTAATACCTGAAATTCTGCCACGTTTTTTCTTGCCAGCCAGCAGGCTTAAACCCTAACTGAAAACACCCCCTGAACGAATGATTTTTAAGGTCAGCCGAAAGGTTCGGCTGCAAGGGACCAGTGCTTCTATAGTAGATGCAAATTGAAAAAAAAAGTATTTTTTTGCGTACGAAGCAGAGCTTGCCATTTTTTAAACCTTATCTTTTGTGAAAAGAATGGTTTTGGAAAGTACTATATGTGATGATGGGTCTAATTTTTTTGACCATGCAGTAATGCCCTCTGCAGCGGTTTTTGCCAACACATGGTAAATTTGGCTAGTCTCGTCTCCTGTTTTGTCCCCTCTACATGTCTCTAGTGAGGACCAACCCCCAGAAGAATGGGAATATCACAGTCAATCTATTAAGTACTGCCAGAAAATGACTCAGATTATCGTTATTATTTGGGTACATGTCTTGTCCTTTTTGTCCCTACAGGGCCAAAAATAAAGATGGCGGTCGCATGTTACGCGATACTTTGGAGAAAATGGGCATGAGCTTGCCGGCTGGTCGTCGAAAAGCATGTGCTGTCACATTACTAACATCACTCTGTGAAGGTAGGTTCTTTTTTCAATCAATTTGCTGTGGTTTTTACATATTATACATCTTCTCTTAATATGTAGTACTGAATATTAATGATCTCACCCAAAATCACCTTTAACCTGCACATTGGTAGAATACTTCATTTAGCTGATTGTGATAAGCTGTTTAGTTTTGATATGTTTATTGTTGCCTTGTATAATAGTCATGTGTCGTTTTAACGACAGTTTAGTGCCACGTTTAGAACATTTTGGGCGTGGTTGTATGTCGGGGTACAAAGAGAACAATATGAACGATCCAACCGTGGGTGAAATATGGCGGATGAAATAAAGACTTTTATAAGATTTATGACCCTTGGATTTCTTAAGGAAGATATTCACATTGCGTGGCCGAATCGAAATTCGATATTTATTTCTAAAGGTGCACTTACTGATTTTAAAGTTAAAAAGTAAGACTGGCCAAGATGACTGCTGTATTTCTTACCAAAGTCTAAAATATTACTTAAAAGATTAAAATTGACCAAAGGACGAAAATATCTCCCAAACTGTCGTGCAGAATAATCATTCACATTTTAGCTGACCTTGCCCAGTATCCAGCACAGCAACAGGCTTTTGAAAAAGACATTGAAAAAACATTTTCAAAAAAGCTGCAGAAGTCCCCCGTGTTCTATCTATAGACCCAACCTTGTCCCGCACCTGACTCTTCTTTGCAAGCGTGTGTAATGCACCACTTTGATGTTCTGTCCTACCCCGCACCCAGCTGTTCGGCTTATTACTTTTTGTGGGTAGAAAAAAACGATGACTTTTTAATTCCTGGCAATGTAAACGTTCGGCCCGCTCCCCTACATAAAGCCGCATACCTATCAGTCGCCATGCGAACAAGATCAGCGCTGGGAAGCACACGCTTTCAAGTTTATTAAAATCCTTTTGATATAACCGTTTTCTTTCTTCGTGAGACAAGTGGAGTAATATTGGGTTTATCAAAATGTGATTTCTTTGGATTAAAAAATAATTGTGAATCGCATTACTTGGTATATAATTATGTCCTCACTTACACTAAACAGCAGTTTTTTTAATTTGCCATAAACTTTTGTGCTTTTTTCTTATCTCATCCCACCTGTTTCTTTACTAAGACCTTTGGTAATTGTGGATTGATTAGTGGGAAAAATGTTAAGGAAAAATCCTGTTCTATCAGAGCAAAGACTCATTTTACCAAGTGGCGGGATGAGTGGCGACCAAAAAGGGTCTCCTCCCTGGGTCGTTCCCTGATGCGCCAGTCAATACAAGTGCAGCGACAGTGAGTTTGATATGATTCGACTTGACGGGACATTTCCAGTTTTGCTATGAAGTACAATGTGTTCAATTTCATAAATTTATAATAGCGATGCGCACAAATAGTAGCACAGCGAGAGGGAAATGGGCACTCGACTCCTACTCCTCTTGCTTACGACAAAGTGACTTTTAACAATGCCATCATTTACTCCGTCGTTTGAGCGGAAAGTTTAATTAAAGAACAACAAGAGGAGCTTAATTAGAGCACTAATAGTCTCTTCTCGGTCTCAGTAGTATTTCGCGAGAAGAGAGTCTTAGGTTCGTGTGGCAGATATCAATGTGTCTCAATTATCGAAGCACACGGAAAGTGACGGATGATTAGTCGGTATGTTGTGACACAGCCGAGGAGTGTCGTTATATGTGGTCATTATCCCATCCGTCTGCGGGGAAAAAATTGTGGACTTGTTTCTACCCCGTGATTTCTTTAATGATTGTCTGAGAATTAGGATGTGTTTTGTGTGTTTTGCAAAGCGTATAACAGGCGCCATGAAGGGGAATTTCGTACCGGAGTAATTGACGTGATTAGTGTGTTCCGAGTTGATATTATGGCATGTTCGGTACACGTGGAACACGCTTGAAAAAAAAACGATGATTGGAGAAAACACGTAGATATGTTTAGTAAAATATATACATATATTACGAATGGCCATTTTTCTATGACCCTTTATTATTGTAACTATATAATAGCTGTATAATAGGCACTGGAAAAATTCCGCAAGAGATGGATTATTACAAAAATGAATTGGAAAAGAAACGGACAACTTGGCGTTGACCGCTTTGGTAACAGATGTATAGTAAAAAAAGGAATTTTAGAATAAAGAAATATTAGAACAGTGACAGATTAATCAGCATTTCCCTATTTTTAATCACCTCTCAAGTCATCACCCAATATTATAATTGCTTGAATTTTTATTGTCACATAAATAGAGGCCAATCCAAACAAAGCGGTCAGCCGCGGTTTACGGGGGTGACTAGGAGTGTTTTAATACTTAGTAGTGGTTACGAGGTTGACACCTCTGTGCTAAGTGGTCGGCAAACAACACTACAATAACGGAGTGTTAAGTAATTAGCCGTCCTTGCACTTTTCTTTGGCCTATCACCCCAAAACTAATAAGATTAAACACACAAGGTAAACATTGGTATTTATCTGTTTCTATTAATCTGCGGCAGTGCCGTTGACCAGATACGACACAAAGGTGAAAAGGTAAATTACAGGAGAATTTAGCGTCCTTCTTGGTCACCGTAATTTCTCATTACACGACTTCGGCCAAGCATGAAGTTTACCCCAGTGGAAAATTCTCGCAGGCGCCATGCCATAGGCAGAAGACAATGTTGATCAAATTTGGCGGTATTTTGCATTGATTGCCGTCTGCCAGCATTGTTTTCTCAATTTATTCTATAAATTTGATGATGTTGAATCAGCCAATACGGCAGAGTTACAGTCTCATAACTTCCCTTTGTTGTGGGATGGGATTTTTAAGAAAGGTGAATCCTCTAAAATAAGCCAATGGTAGTTTCATGTTTCTTTTCCGGCATGAAAGCGTGTTTTTCTCATCTGTATTTAATGGAAAAATCTGCCGACCTTTTATTATGAAAACACGAAAGATGCTCGCCATTTTGGGGTAAATGGACACCATAAAGGAAAGCAGACCTAAAACAAGGCCGTTCCCATCCCAAACTATTCACTTCACGTTGGGTCGTTAATATGTGCAGATTAAAATATCACGGTACAATTTGATCAGTTTTCTGTTAACATTTTTGAGGGCGAGTTCGTCAGTTTGATTACTTTTTAAAACGGATTTTTTTTACGTGATATGTTTATTTTCAAAATGAAAACTTACCATGTATGGTGCTTGTTTGTAAATGTTTTGTTGTTTTTTTTTTGCAGGTGAAGCAATTCGTTTGGCAAGAGATTTTGGTTACTTGTGCGAGACAGAATTTCCCGCCCGACAATGTGGAGAATACGTCGCCAGGCAAACCACCGACCCATCTGACTGTCATAACAGAAGAAATATGGTTCTAGCATCTAGGTGGGTTATTTTCCTTAACTGGAGACAAACATAACATTAACAGCAATAATAACCTTCTTATGGATGTTTTGTCAAATTACTTTCTTTTCCTATCACAAAAGAACAAAGTAACTAGAAAATGGAAAAAGTTGACATTTTAATGCGGGCGCTATCTCCTAACCACCGCCATTTCTGGCTCATTTCTCTTACTTACACGCACCGACCTCGGCTCACTTCCATTCATTAAGTCTAACCTATGTCGATTCGCCGTTGCTATTATTATTATCATACGGGCTCAAGTCGAAAAATATCTGGTGTGCTTTATTTCTCGAGGCCAAAAGTACTTGACTGCCCAGCTTGACCACAGGTAAACCACTGTGCTGAGCTAGAGTACCAACGGTCAAGCTGCGGAGAAAGTATCTGGCAGACTGGGAGTCGGTGCAGACGACAAGGCTAGTACATGCCATTGTCCAGTGGGTCAAACAATTCAATATGGTGTGCTGGAGTCGATGCTTTGCCATTTTGATTTTAAAAATGTTGTTTTTAAACGTTCCTTAAATTTCATCGTTTTGTCTAATGAAAAAAGACACAATTTTAGAGCCTTACGTCAGCGGACTTCGTCTAATATACGAGTAGATTTTGCTTAAAATATGTAATGGAATTTTGTTTCGTTTATCTTACGCATATTTTTTTGCTTTTTTTCAGACAAATTCTTAAAGAATTGACTGATCTCCTAAACCAGGACCGGTCGCCTCTTGGCAATACGCGTCCACAGATGATATTGGATCCAAGCATACAGCGACACCTGACGCATTTTAGTCTAATCACACACGGGTTTGGTTCTCCAGCAATAGTAGCAGCATTGACTGCTGTACAGAATTATTTGACTGAAATGCTCAAATTTATGGACAAAAATTACCCCAGCTCTCAAGGACCTACGTTAGGGGGCGGTGCAACTTCACTCGATTCTAGCGGTAAACCAAAATCTGAAAAGGACGATTCGCGAAAATGAAGAAGAAAGGAGCACACACCACCACTGTTGGGAACTTAACGGTGCCAGCTAGTGGTTGTCTTTGAAAATGCAGGGATATTTTCTTACGTACGCAGCAGACGCTAAAGCTCTACGTCTTTACAGGGTCCTTTGACCTTTCACTTTTTTCATTATTGGATAATGTCGAGATTGGCTTCATGGGACGACTCAACATCAAGTTAAATTGGTGCTGCCATGTTATGCAAAGGACTATTTGCGTCAGAACTTGTGAACGTGGTGTGACTGTAGATACTAGGTATTTAGAAAAACGGGGTAATTGTATAGCGACAGCCTCCAAACCATTCCACAATTTGCAGACTTTATGTGGACATTTATTCTTTCCCAAGTAGGGAGACAGACTTTCTTCCAATCCGATAAAGAATTTTTAAAATTCCACGAAAACTAAGTTATCAAAACAAGAGAGTAAGTGGAATCAAGAGAGCGATGAAACAATCAAAACATTGTTTTTAACAGTTCATGACACTTCAGGGCTATTCGATAAACGTGTAAATATTGTGACTGTAATTCTGAATTCTCACTTTTTACGTAGTGTGCTTGCATATAAGATGATGGTCCATGTTGATATAAAATATATCTATTACAAAGAGGAATTAGGGATAGATGCCATTTGAATTTGCTACAGGTAGTTTGGCGATTTAAGAACAATCTGGAGTCTTTTTGCCAATGTGCCTTTAGTAGGAGCAAAGTGAGTTCCCAACTTTATTTTAGTTTGTACATCTTTCCCAGAAGATACTCAGCAAACGACGTTTGCGCATGCGTCAAATGGTCTCAGTCCCACCGTGCTTTTTGTCGCAATATTCCCAATAAGATGTCTGCTGCCTTGTTGCCTTTTTATTTAAGTTGTTATAGTCATAAAAAGATGGAGGAAGTTCTGCTGTTTAACCCCCAAATTTGACCTGCCGAAATTTCTGTTCTGTCACGTCTTGGTTTGTTTTGAAGTGACCAGTAGCTCAGTTCGCGCGCAAAAGATGGCGTTGAATATGAAGAGAGCTATTGGTGCTGATATACAACGATTTGTATTTCTATTCATATATGGTAGATGAAATTTGGGGGCTGAATCAGGGAGGTATTATACCACGAATGTCTTATCAAATGATTCTAGTCGCATAAAGTTAGATATTTTGATATTTTCAAATTAAGATACAGTATGTCGTATCCAGTCGATCTAGCCAATATGTACAATATTTGTTTTTTTTGTTTTATTCAGAGTCGGTCTTTGACTGAATGTTTTTTCTTAAAACAATGTTTGTAGACATATCACATTTGAAGGTGCATCTCTTCTAATAGCGAACTTTTTTGAAGTTCATTTGACAAAGATAAATATATCAATAAATATAATCTAGTGAATGACAGATCATTTACCCCAAAGTGGGGGAAACAGCGAGTCCGGAGACCGTACGTAACAATGACGTTACTTTGCTTTGACTACATAAGAAATTGTGGGCAAAAAAGGGACTGCCCATCGTTAAGACTTTGTGAAAGTGTACGTGTATGGCAAACCTCAAGCTCATGTAAGTGAGGGTATAGTAGATAGCAAATGGGCTTGAGCGGTGTGTGTTTATTAGTGTTACCACCTTGTTTTGTAGAGGAGGTTGAGATTTAGTCCTTTTTTGTGCAGTTTTCACCCAATCCCTATATTGTCTGCAATTCGTAAGCTTCCAGTTGTACTATTAAAGGGCCTGTGTTTAAGAACACTTGGGCCGGGTGACTACGTATATAACAGTGCACACAACGATCAAATCGTACTTAATGTTGACTATATTTATATTTGTAGACTTTGTAGATTGAGGAATAATACTACAAATTCGTGTTGACTTGTAATAAAATATTTCGGGAACAACATGATCCATATTATTTTGCTTTATTTCTTAAGTTTTTACACATTTACCTTGTCCGCTGATATGTGAAAACGATTTCTTTGATGCTGGGCAATTCCTAAATTAGACACTAAAAAGACAACATACCTAACGACAGAGTGCGCCACTATTAAACAAAATTTTAATATCTTGGATAAAGCCCCTATATATCAATACCGCGCAAGATTAACTTTGCCCGTATTTCTTCAGTACGATTGTCCGCCTTGATTATGATTTCAACATCATGTTCCTATACTAATAGCTTTTGATGTCAATGTGATTACCACTTGAAGGTTTACGAGTGTGTTTTGAATATGCCTTGAATATCAAATCGCACGAACAAAAGTTAAGACAGCATGATCAATGTCATCAGTTAACAATAATATTGATTTGTCATCCCTTTAGAAACCATGAAACATAACACTAAATATGTATGCTATGATCCAACGACCTCGTGTTAATCATAAATGCATTATTTTCTGTATCGAGTTTGTTTAGAGAAAGAACAACCATTTTCACTACGGGGCTGGGACTATAAACTATAAAGCTATAAAACAGGAAAAGCGATTTTATATCATAATAATCCCTTTTTTATAGTGTTTCACTTTTAATATTATCAACTAGCATTTTAAAGCATTAAAATTTAAGAAAAACCAGAAAAGTTTTGAAGATCGGTTTGTAAGTTTTCATTATTTTGTCATTATATTCATATTCCACTTAATGACTCTTTTATATACCATGCATACTTTCTCTTAATATGGGCAAAGGTTTCTTCTCCTACACATTCGCCGGGTTGCAACATTCTCAGCTTCGGGGGCTTGAACTCCAAAGATTTACCAACAATCCCTACATGTACCAGTCTAATGTTTTTGCCTCAGGTCGACCAATGTATAAGGTTTATAATATACATCGGTTTACTTTGCCCACAATTTCCATATAAAATATGCTTACATTTTAATTAACCGATTATTCCAATATGACATTAAAATATTAATGCGTTTTTTAATTAACAGAATACTGTCTTATACATATATACATATAATAACACTCCTGATGTTTTTATGGCAAACTATAAGTTGATACATTTCAAATTTTCTGATCTCCAAGAATCCTGGTGACGTCAATTATCAAAAATACGTATTAAGATCCCCTGTATTTACCTGCAGTATATTTCAATCCTCTTATACCTTGTGTTTCGAATTCCCCAGGGGTAGCACTTGCCATCACGGCATGTTCTGCCCTCTGAGGATATTACTCGACATGGAAATGTGTGTCGTCTTTCTACTATACTGCTTGTATGGCCTCGGGTATATCGGAGTGAGAAACAGCGGGCCCTTCACTCTACTATACAACACAAATCATGATTTATGAAAACCGCAGCAACCTGGCCCATGAAAAAAAAAACTAGTTGGAAGTAAACAAACATGGGACTGTTAACTTTATTAAAAGGGGAATAGCCTTTGTGATGTTTTATACATGGAAATTGGTGATCAAATTAAATACACTATACAATGCTAGAGGTTTTTCATTCTCTTGATAGAATGATAAAAGGATTATTCTTTACTTGGAGACTGAATAATATGAGTCAAATACTACAGAAATACACGTTGTTTTGCAAATGTTATTATTCTTTTTATGGATGAACGGAAATTGAAATTAGAAGTAGAGAAAAATACTAAATTCATTGATAGCAGTGATAGTATGAATGGAGACTATTTTATTTGTCCTTATGACAAGATGGTTTACTATTGAAAGCTATAGATTGTGAAGGCATTGACTGTTGTAAAATGAAGAAATGAAAGAACAGAAGTTTCATCTACATTTTCCCAATTGTGTATGTCCCATGTTTGCTGCATAGTGCCGCGGAGGCAGAAAATAAAGACCCCAAAATTAACGTTGGCATTAGACACTACAAAATTAGACCAAAGAAAAAAACGCAGTTGAATGGCAAAAAAGTGCACTTCGCGATAATTAACTAAGTAACAAAGGGGGAGATTAGGTCCTCAGAGTATGCAAGAATGCGTAGTTGTGTTGAACAGCAATTTTAGTATGCATATCCCAAATGCCAGAGCGTATTACTGTCATGTCTGTGGGCCATATGATTGATAATTGTCATCAATTCTCCTGCTTCCGTCGTGGCACCGGGACGTCTTCTCATGACCAGGGAGGAGGAAAAGTGAATTTTTGGTGTCTTTTTGGCAACGGGTCAGTCCTGATTACTTCCCCTTTGGCCTAGGGCCCACTCCAAGATGTCACAGTCCTATAGCTGGCAGACATTCAGTCTCGCGTCCCTTCCACCTGTGTGCTCAACCAAAACCTGAAATTAGACTGATAGCTCCGAATCATGTCACCTAATTTCTCCTGCCAATTACTCAAGGAGGATTCCCACGCTAAAACAGAGAGAAAGGTCAGATTTAGCAAATGTGTTGATCAGGTAAGGCCAAGAGCAGTGTTTGGTCCGAACTTGTCGAACCTTCAAGGCCGGAAACAGACAGATACATAGAATAGTGTCATCTTGTGACTAGCTCTCGCTGCATTATCCTCTAGCTAAGGTGACATCTTCATAAACCCCTCCCCGGTGATTTTAAATTGTGACGCCGTGACGTAACAGCACTTCTTTTTGGACACCGTGTAATGAACATGCTTGAAATTAACATGAAATGGACAACACACGTGATGGAGTTATCCGGTGCGGGAGGGGTGGAACCCTCACATGATGACCGGGACATTTTAATAGTCTTATCTCCCTCCTTTGTTGCGCAAAAATGGCCCAGATAAGAACGGTGGTGTGACTTTTACAGTGACAGATGTGTGAGAAAAGAAAGAGGCAATTAATTTTATGCGACAACTTTGACTTTTCTTTCACTGCTCAGTGATAGTTGAAAAGACGGTTCATTTCAAAGAACTCGGAGAAATGACTGTAACATTTCTTGCCGATTAAAAGCGAAATTTCCAAATTACAAATATATGTGGAAACTTCCCATTTCACTAAAACATCTATGTAACCTCTTATTCATTCGTATATACTTGTATATATTGTTTGTTTTGCTTTGCCCATTTCCACCACCACCTTTTAATTTTTAACACGAAAAAATATTTATTATCCGCATACATAACATCCAATTAGTTTCATTTTTCAAATTTCAAGTTCTTAAATTGTCTGGCCGGGTCACATAAAAACACGACCGAAAAACCCCGATACAACTTGGCATTTTTGAAACCCATCCAATGTGTCAGCTGCTCTTGACGAAGCCAGACTATTTTGGCTAAATTACCCCATTAGCAGCCATCACCTTCAATAAGATTACGTAAACTTTCATCGCCAATAAAACACCGCTAATGTACGGTGCACTAGGGACACAGCAGCGTCGCAGAAAGGTTGTGATAACATCAACCAAAAACCTGTTGCTACTCTTTTATTAACGGGCACATCACATACTTGAGAACTGATAAGACGTTTTAAAGATAAGAAGGCATTGTATAGTAACTACGTTGCAGTAATTGCACATTGCTATGTATTGCACCCTAACAATATCATTGTAATTTAGGTCTAATTTACCCCCTGATTTATGGCCCCGCTGCTTCTCGCGTCACATGGGTGTTTTTGGGCGTGTTTTTCCTTTGCCAAGCCTTGAAAAGACCGACAGTCGGCTCTTATTAATGGCATGTTTTTGGTGGAATTATACAGAGGAGCAAGTCACATGTTACCTACAGGAAATCAAGCTTGGTACTTTCTTTTTGGTATTCAAAATTTGCATAAATGCGCCAGTTTGCTTATTAAAGAAAAATGGCATTTGAAATTGACTTGATTACCTGATAAAAATATATAGACTGAGAATGACTGATAAAAGAAATTTAAATTAAAAATGAGATCTCATTCTGTGCAACAAATATAACAATTTTCTTTATTTAGCAATTGATTTTTTTCTCGATTGTTTACATTTTTAATCTGCTAAAATATTAAAAATTGACAGGGAAGGTATAAGAAAGTAAAAATTCCCCTACTCAAAAACTTGGGTAAATTCAGATATTGTCGTGTTTTTTATGTTTTCAACAAAAAAATCACACCTTATAGATAGAAAAAATATTTAAAAAAGGAGACGAATCTTCAGTTTGTTGACGAGAACGCCCAAGTAAATTGAATGTTTCAGTGACAAAGACATGCACACGCGAATCTTTTAAACAGAAGTATTATATTAGTGCCTTTGGGACACAAAAAGACAACTACCACGCCTAACTTTTATTCCCACAATAACAATTTTCCTAAGGCACAGATGAAGTGTTGTATATTTAATTAAATCAATAATAAACGCAAAGCTGATTATATGGTATATTTACTGCCGCTTAGCCATGGGGTTAAAGGCATTTCAAGTCTGCGGTAAGTATCATATTAAAAGATAGGCGTGCGGAATGTTCCTCCAAGCACCGCTTTAAGATGTCTCTCTCTCTGGTTTATTTGCTTTTTATATTCATTCAATGATAATATCCCCCTCTGGTTTACTATATAACTGTATTATACTTGCGGGTGTTTGTATGCCATGACTGTGCTTGTTAAATATTTCTAAAGCGCATGGTAATTAGAGTAATGTTTCTTTGAAAGATAACCACAGCCCTTATTTCTAAAAAAAGGTTGTTCATAGTATTCTTGTATCGTAATTCACTTTTGTTTTTCCTTAAAAACACTAGTGCTGATACCTTCAAGGCATATTACATTCTTTAGGTAATTATATAATAGCCTTGCTCAAGTTTTTTTTTCTGCGTAAAGTAGAAATGCAAAGAAATACACGTGACTGACTTACCAAAAACTTGTTCGTAAGAATGTGGTCTTAAGTATGTATCTATTGCATATCTTGAGTTAAGAATTCGACAGTACTATGGTAGGCGAGTGCTGTGGAACGTTGAAAGCGCCGGAAAAATTTTTGCATGTTTTTATTATCTATTAATTTATCCTTTTTTATCCTCTCTTTTTGCCCTCAAATTTGTATTGTACTGTTAGCATCAAAACATTAATTTTTAAAAAGATAATTTCTGCATAAATTTGATATCAGCTTTATGTTTGTAGAAATGCACCCGCCACGCGTTCATCCAGAATCGAAATCCAAATTTGATTTAGCTTATCTGGATCAGATAATTAATCCTATTTCCCGACGAGCTCCCTTTAACTTTCCTCAGTCTTCTTTATATTTATAGGTGCCCTATGATAAAAATTATGGTCTAGTTTTTTTTAAATAAAAAAAGGAAGAAGGAAAAAAAGCAGAATGATAATTTTTAAAGATGTTGTCCTGCTTTAGATCTGTAGATCTGTAGATTCTTTACAGTAGTCATCATTTGAAAACATACCAATATCATTTCTCGAAACACATTTTTCGAAATTTTTAAGTTGAAATGAAGGTTGTTGTATATATATAAGAACAACATGGAGACACATGATTCAACCTTTAAGACCGCACATTTAGACATGGCTACCATATCCTCTTTTGTCCATAAATACAGACAAACAAATTTTATGAATGAAATGTTTCAAAACATGTCAAAATGTTGAGGGTATGAGTAGGTTTTTGTCCCTTGAGGAGAACATTTTAGTTTATTGTTTAGGCATTCTTACTTATGTATCCACCTGTGGAAGGCCGTGATCGCGCTATTTTTCCTGTCGTCTGCGATGCGATCCATCATAATTTGGGAGAAAAATATGGAAGAAAGTTGAGTATTTTTTTCTTTGGTTTTCTGAACCATAGTGGCAGCCTTCTGTTTCCTTTTACTTATTGACATTTAGTGTAAAAGTGGCAGGGAAATGACTCAACGTGACAATAGATGTGATGGACCTATGATCCTCTCTTACAATCGCATCATTATAATCAACATTTAAAAACATGAACATTTTGAATCTCCAACGTATGCTTAATAGGTGGGTCCTGACAGCATCATTGTTCCTTTATGTATAGTTTTTTTACTGTAAGTTAAGAACATGAAATAATAATAAAAGATGCGGTTTGTTGAATTTATTGATTATAGACAATATATAATTACCGGTATACTTTTTTACATGGGTGACAAAAAAGTCGCGTCTCCTAAGGTTTTCTATGATGAGTACTTAGCTGTATTATGTGTTGCTGAAAGCATGGGATGTGACAAATATGTAGAAACTTTAATTTTGATCCTGGTAGAGCAAAAGAAAAATATATAATTAAAACAAATAAAGAAATAAAGAAAGAAGCGACTTATGTTTCCAATATGGCTGGCAAGCCTATATATACAATGTGCTATCTACACATTTTTATTTATTTCACTATTTATTATCTATTTGAAAGAAACAAAATATATTTCCCGAGACTGCAACTTGAATCACAAAAACTAAAAAAGTGTGTGTTTCTATTGGAAACCAATAGGGAGAAAGACACTCAAGACTAATTCACATCCATCCCACCCACATAGTTATAGAATTTCATTAAAGCAAGAGACCTTAGGTATGAATAAATATCTGATCTGATTAAAAAAATTGTAGGCGTATACTATTTAACTAATGAGGTATATTTGATTGTCAAGGGGACAGAAGTGGGAGTAGGTGTAAATAAATTGTAAAATTTGCATGGCACGAAACACTCCTTGAAAATTATTTTTAAAAAAAGTGCACTGTATATAGTGCACTGTGTGAATATTTATATCAGTTCTGATATATGGATAATGTCAATTATAACCTTTTCGTAATGCCCATTGCTCTGGGTAAGATAGAAAAATGTTGTTCATTTTGATGGAAATATGTCTCTTTCTAATTGTTCATGCACGGCCTTTAAAAGGACTAGTCCATCCCTGCTGCAATAACTTTACCAGTCCAGGGACGTGTTTGTAATGTCTAGGCCCATTATGCGGACATATCCCCATTCGCATGACACGGTACTCCGTGTAGTGTGTTTTATTCATCATTGTCTTCCGGCATTTGTTTGTGTGTTGGCATTTACGACTCACTTTATTCCTGTGACACCGATTTTTAAGTGAAATCCTGAATGCAAAGTGAACACGTTCACATGAACTTAATGGAAAATAGAAAGGTAGTTAAAATTGCATTATCAGTATGCACCTGGTTAGAAATTTGGGATGTCAAGCCAAACAACATAAAAGAGCGTGAGAAATTATCCACAAAATATTCGTCTGGGAACAAAGAATTGCTGTATTAAGCCGTTCTGTGTCACATCACTTGTGCTCTGAAGCTTGTCAATGAAAATAATAATATTGTACCGGTGTCTAAACCATGATGCGGTCTGACAAATATATATTTATAGATATGTGTACATATTTTTTTTTTCAACCGAATGGGCAAAACATATCCATGTGATGACAACCTTCACCATCTATTTGAACACAGCGATGTTATCTTGACGGTTGACGGTATTTCAGACGGTTGCTTTAAAGCTAAGAACCTGTGTAACATGTATAGCATAGCCTGTGGAACAACAGGCTTAAATTTAACGCCGAAGGATCAGCGTAAATATCTCTATTTTCTCTCCGGACAACATTGTCCACAAGCTACTTGCTTTACAATGGCCTCTGAACTTCTGCCCGGAGGTTTACTTAATTGAATTAGTGTAAAATTAGATCAGTGTTAAAAAGAGTTAAATGGGAGCACCGCCTTAAGAGTCGCTTCAAGATATACCAGTAGTTATTCTGCAGCGTCCTAAAGGCAACTGTGAATAAAGGTCATCATTTGATTATTCAGACTACAAAAAGATTCGTCCATGTAAATGCTCGCGGTGACAATCACAATTGTGGTTGGGATGAGCGCAACTAACACATTTTCCAACGTCAAACGCAATCCGATCTTGTCAGGTAAAAAAAGACAACTATCGCAATATTTATATCATTTTACTTTAAACATTAATACATTGATGTTTATACAGCCTATACAATCCATAAAATTGCGCGTAAGTTATCTCTTGCATGCGCACGCGCATTCTTGACAACATATATACACAGAACTCTTAACTACATTAAACAAGTATATACAAGTCCAATGTTTCTTGAGCTTCTTAAAATACAAAGTGTGGTGTGAATTCACATAAAAATCAGAGAAGCCAAACTTGTTTTAAGACTCGCCCTTACTTTTCAAACAGCACACCATTTATCTATAGACTTAAATGCATTATGATTAAATCCATCGGTTCTTCCCCTTTGTCCACATCGGCATCCATATTTGAAAGTCAAAAGCGTCTAGCTCCACAGATACAAATGATTCGACCTTTTCAAAATACCCTAAGTAACCTACTCTATATGTGAAACGGTTTTTTCACTCGAAACGCAATTCTTCCTTTTCGGGCGTACTTTTTAAACTACAAAACGCGATCATCTACATGTGTAGATCTAGATATTTTAATATTAAAATATTCGTTCAGTTTTTGCAACATTTCAAACAGATAAAGATGTACCGATCTCTTGGACAGTAAGAGAAACACAAAGCCGCTGCTCTCTAGTTCACTTTTCTGAAGGGCATAAGTTCAGTATCTAGTTCAGGAATTCGTCCCAAGTCCTGTGCCGAGGAGCCATAAATTACTGCATCCCACAATCTGCTGTGGCGGCCATTCTGGAAAGCTATATAAAACATACAAAACACATACAATATCCTCTCTCTCTCCGGTGCATTTATAATAATATGCTTCAACCTTTTTTCAAAAGGATGCTAATCTTAAGTATATATAATATCACATACCTAATTTTATCACAATGAACATTTGGGTGAACCTTAATCATGTGTTCTCAGAAACAAGGCTGCAGATTTTAATGTCTAGGTAAATATTCATTAATAAATCATGTATATTAAGACGAAGAACAAAGAGAACTAACAAAGAGCTACCTATAGTAGTAGTAGTTTATAACTAGATAACTGTTTAAATATTCTATCATACATATAGTTGGTGCTACATTAAGCACTAGTCCTACGCGGAGAGGAGAAGCCAGGGATAAGGGAACATTCAAAGGGTAGATAGTAGATAGCCGTTCACCTAAATTTGATATAAGTGGACAAATGGGATGGCGATTATTTGTGCGAAACAGAAACACAGAAGAATATATATGACTGTTGCCATGTGAATTCCTTTTAAAACCTTGTAGATTTCTAAGGTACTGATGACAATGGTTCGTGATATCCAACATGCCACTTAGAAAATGTTCTGAACTCAAACATAGAACCCCAAATCCCAAGAACTTGTTGAAAATGGGGATGAGTCCTTTCAAACCCTTCGTTGTATTTAGCACAATAAAAATCTATCGAAATCCACCTCAAAACAACATATAAGCAATATTTGTGCGAAAGGCACGTCGATGTTGTTTCTTTGACATGGGAAAGCTTTGCATGAATGAGTGAGCATGCGACACAGAAAAGGTAACAATGAGGGTACATCGTGCCGCCATCTTGTCTCCGTAGTGATAACAATAAGGTATCTATCACCATGTGAAGGTTATATCTAATAACTCTAAGTTGTCAACACCCATGTGCCATATGTGGAACACCTGCCATGCAGAACATTTCTTCAAGCTTCGGTATGCAATGAGGTAAGGGTAATGTGTTCGGTTCGGTCGCTTGTGGAACCACGGTGACGGTGCTTAAACTCACTACTTTTGAATTTGTACGTGAGAGTTCCGTTGCCCTGGCGGCCGGAAGTCACCCTGTACGCAGGCGCGAAGCTCTTGGGGCAGCAATACAAACAGCACGCGCAGCATCCGAGTTTGAACTCCTTGCGAAACTTAGCTGAAAATGAAAAATTTGTTTACATTATTTGGAAAGATTGAGAGGAATAAGAAATCATTACATGTCGGTCACCACCGTATAAATTGGTAGATTTGACATTCATTTTTCTGAAAGAAAGTGCACTGTATTAGAATAATCCCATTATAGACCAAGTTAACGTTGGGATCAGCACCTATCACATTGAAAATATTCCCTGCCAACAATTTGCCTACTTTATCTTTGAATACCAATACATATCGTTCATATAATTTCTCACCAACTATTCAACTGTATTGCATTTAAATATACATTCATCCACATAAAAAGTACTCGTACATACCGCTCATGAAATTATAAATGACTGGATTAATGGCACTGTTGAAGTAGCACAGCCAGTGGGCAACTATGACGACATTCGTCTCCGATTCTTTGTCGACAAAAATCATTGTCCCCAACCCAGTGAACCTAGGCAGACAAAAACGATGTAAAGTTAATGTACTGTAACATGGTGTAAGTCAGGATGACGCTATGAATTTAGCCTCAATTATTTACGTTATTTTATATGATGATAGCTACACACACACACACACACACACACACACACACAGAGAGAGAGAGAGAGAGAGAGAGAGAGAGAGAGAGAGAGATAATTAAGGAGAGATAATTATGGCAGTTCTTTCAGTACAAGGTGAAAAAAACTTTCTCGAGATGTTAGTTTTTCAATATTTGTGCTCAATCCAAAAATTCATGATATAAATCAAATGAACTAAGGAAAGTGCACAGAAAACTAATACGTGAGGAATGTAAAATTGCCATATAATATGCGTGAGCACATTTACGTGTGAAACATCGTTATATGTTGCCTGAATAGTTGTCTGAATGAATGAAAGAATCTTGAGCGCAAGACCTGTCCGAACAGTGCCATTTTAGACAGCTATTAGTAATGTCGTGTTTACAGAACTGGAAAGGCATAATTAGAGGAAATGTCAACTTGGATCGCTTTCAACCATGCTGCATTATATAGCAAGGAAGAAAACTCGAGGAAGAACTTTCAATTTACAAGAAAAAGTAAGTTTTTCTCTTTTCATATTAGGTGAAAAAGCGAGGCAGATATTTTTCCATGTAGAACGCTAAGTACATTGTTATAACACTTATTGTAAGGCCTTTATCAAAATTCACCAAAAGCTAGAAAAATTAAATCAGTATTTTCTTGATACGATATATATATAAAATGTAATTTGAAGTTAATAAGATAAAAGATATAATATACAGTTTTACTGTAATGTATTCTCTTCCTTGTGAATCCATATTTGTCAAACCACGAAATGATAATGAAAATTCCCCATCATCTAGTAATGGCTATAATTTCTACAATGCTTTCACGAAAGAATAGGACTGACAGTACTGGTAGTGTCAATTCCCCATGCCATGTGCGCGAGATAAAATGCATATAACGGAATAAATAAGCATATAACAGACGGTGATACATATTCGTCTCACCTCAATATGTTTATAAGATACACAGGCATATAGCAGAGAGCAAACATCACAACCACAGCAATCAGCATTTTCGCCACATTTTTTCTTGACTGTATCTGGGACTCGATTCCTCCCCGCGTGCTGTTGCCCGTGCTGCTGTACGTGCTGCCACCTGACGGCGAGAAAAATGACAGAATAATAATAAATGATTGATATATGTCGCAGTGACTGCAACTAGTTTGATATTCACTGTGCCAATCAAAAGCTATTATCGTCAAATACTTTTTTGTGATGTTTTACGTCCTGCCACCCGATAGAGATAAGAATCACACCCACGGCTTTCTGTTCATCGGCCACTGCTCACCGACTGTATATAAAAACTCTTAAAACTCAGCCCCCACCCCAACCGACATTCTTGAAAGCCATCAAGTTTAAATTGTATTATTTAAATCCCGAAACTTTGGCTTAACCCTGTTAGGCATTGGTAGAAGAACACATTTTACGGCGATCTCCCGAGCAAAAATCCATCAATAATACATTGAGTGGCATAAAACGCGCTTATTAGTGCATGTGCAAATACACCATATCTGTAAAAAATATACAAGTTGATGATGTACACATGTATGATTCAGACGTTTTACCAGCGCCTACAGCCATAAATGAATGACAGTTGATACATTTAAATTGCTAATGGTGCAAGTATTGAATTATTTAAAGTGCAAAGAAGGTCAAATCAAACAGAACCATTTACCCAAGGTTGCAAGTTAGGCATAGAGTTCAACATATGCAATAGAGCATAGAAATGTAGTTTTTTTTTTAATTTGGCAATTCTGTCAAAAAAAAAAAATTCTCTGTCCAGGAGAAAACATGAAAGTGTCAAGACGCCTAAACTTAAAATTTAAAATACATCAAGAGAGGTATGCAAATGATATTTTTTTCTCGATTTACTGAGTAAACATACCTCTTATCTCATTGGTACCCGGTATGGCATTAGCCCACAAGCATCTCGCTATCCGGATATACGCAAACGCCATTAAACCCAGGGGGACGAAGAACATCAACACCATCAGACAGATCTGATACTCCATTTGGTTCTGCGACGTCCAGACCTCACTCATTACTGGCTGACAGTAGGTCAAATACACAACGCCTAAGTCCTCGGCGTATCTTTTGGGGATTTTGTAGAAGGTGTCAACGGCGATGACATCGGGGATGGGAATCAAAAGTGACACTATCCATATTGTCATGATGATGATCATGGCTCGGGTCGGGGTGCTCTTCAGTTTGAGAGGATAGCAAATGGCATACCATCTCTCCAGTGCAATGGCCGTCAGGGTCAGGACTGACACGCAGACAGACGCAGGCTGGAAAAAAATTAAGCAGAAACAAGTGTTTACGCTGTTAGTTTCTGTTTTAGGAAAATTAAACGATTCAGTTTCTTGTTTTCCCTTTTCAAATTTTTTTACTTCATCAACAACTACAAACCTTTAACAATTCTTATTAACCTATTATGTGAATTTTAATTTTCGAGTCCATAGATAGTCCATAGACAGGTACACATCTTCATGTAGATAGATGGATGGATAGATAGATGGAAAAACAAAACGACGGACGAAATGGATGAATACACATTTAAAATATTTCATTATGGCATCCCGCCTTACGTTAATTAGACGTCTTCCAAAGCAAATTGCTATTTACATTTCATTAATAGCTAATTAAAACATGCAGTTCTCAGGTCATTGTATGCTCAGGTGGTGAAAAAAAAAACGGGGGAAAGAAGAATATTAAAAAATGAAAATATAAAAGACTTATTGTATAATCTGAAAAGAAATATAAGATGCAGTGTCCCAATGAAAAGCCAATGACGGGGTGAATCAAACCAAAAATTAATGAATACGATGTATTGCATCCTGGCTTTCGGTGCTCACAAAGACGACTCGGCCAAGACCCTTTGATTAAGGGTCAAAATAAGTAAAAATAAGTTTAGTCTCCTTATAAACGATAAACCAAGTTTATATATACAAAGAAGTCAGAAGAGATGAGTACACCTAAACAAGTGCGAGGTATTACAGTAGTTACCCAAATAGCGCTAAACGATTCCAGAGATATACTGTGTGAAATAATGTACAAATGCCAATAGGGCCCTGTTCCGAAAAATCTCTGGTCATGAAAGAAAAAGAGAGTGGAAAAAGCTATTAAGGGAAGCGATAGAGATGGTAAGAGCAGACAAGTGTAATTTATTTCAAAATATACCAGTGCGTTGAATTTTCGCTACATTTCATTCTATGCTGGTAATAATTCATTTATTACATGTTTTTTTGACCTTAAGGTAACCAAGGTGATGCCTTATTTTGAGGCTTTAGCAAGAACATCAAAATTGCATTTTCCTACGTAAAAGCTTTTCTTTTTTCAGTCACAGAAAAAAAGACAGAAAGAAAATATACAGTCTCGATAAATGTAAGGTTCCTACTTTGAAGAAAAAATCGATTTCGTAGTAGTGCATTGAATCAGGTGGATAACCGGCCGCATTTTGATAATTTTGGATTAATTCGGCTCCCTGTTTTGTTCATTAGCTCGTATAATTTAATTAGAATTAACTATGAATAAAACTCGGATGTAATATACGATTAAGGTCTCTAAAACTAGTGAAATGAGATGAACTTCTTAAGTTGCGGGGTGTTTTTCATCATTAGAATAATTTCATTGTAAAATTGAAAATCACCGACTCAGATAAACAATTACAGCAGCAGGAAAATGTTATCGACGAGGATGGGATTCGAACCCACGCGGGGAGACCCCAATGGATTAGCAGTCCATCGCCTTAACCACTCGGCCACCTCGTCCTCTTGACAAAGCGGTTGATAGACTGGCTGGTCGTTAACTCGTCCGGTAATTTGCCATCTAGGTAGATTAAAGTGATGATTTACAAGTTTTTAAGGCAAAAACAAATTCCTGAATTTATGTACAATAATCATTCCTTACAAACCACCAATCTACCACAAAATACCTAATAAATACACGTTCTGAATAGTGGATATTTAGGTAGGGGAAAGAAAACTGATCATTTTTCAAAAAGGACACAGCATATGTCTTGAGATATAAGCGCTGGTTAAATCAGATATTAGAGAGGTTTAAGATAGCAAAAATTATGTTGGACTTTCAAAATATGCACATATTTACGTAGTCATGTACAGGATATATTATACATGTGCGTAGTAGAAGGGTGCAATATGTGGAAATCTAATCAATCGATCAGCAACGAACCACTATTGACAAGGGCTAGATATAAAAAAAGGCAAAGACAATTCTATATGTTCGTTCTTTGTAGGTTCAGTACAAGTACGTACTAGTCTAACTAGATCCGTTACACTTCAGAAGTGGCTTTGAAGCGTAGAAGCTCGTTCATGGCGAAACAGTTTTATTTGTGATATTTGGCTATTAGCATGAAAAGTATTACACGTTATTTTTATAGGAGAAAAGCATTTGCGCAGAAAACTAGATAAAATACTTTGAGGTGACGTTCCAGTGTGCCAAAGCTGCGGTGTTAAAGTAGCACCTTAAAGTTTACCTAAGTTTACCAATGAAAACTTCGAAAGCGGTTATGTTTCCTTTTTTAAATTCATCAACACTCACAGATTTCTCTGAGGAAAAACGTCATAAATCGTTGCCTGTTGGCTCTACCGTGATACCAAAACACGATGCAAAATCATAAGACATCTTGAAGAACGGGATTATTACAAGCAATATGTTTTCCGAATCACCACTAGCTGAGATTTATAGTAGTTAATTGAATTCTTGGTTTGGAGAAATCATCAAATGTCCGCACTGGATGATAATGCTTTGCTTTAAAGCTTTTCCTCCACCAAAGAGCATTCTTTTCTTCGATTAAATGATTTGCCTAGCAAAGATACCAAAACCCCTGTCTGTGCGGTAATTGGTTCGTAATTCCCAACAATCTCTAAACGGTTTATATATTTTTATTTTGATCTTTTGCAAGTTCAAGTTGTTCGATTCGAATAATTAAAAATAATGGTTCACTCATCTTTATTGCCAAGTTCAATGAATACCATGGTTTTAAGGCAAACATCCTGTCGAATAAAAGCAGAGGGGTTTTAATGCAATATTTAAAAAGTTCTAAAAAGTATATTTATTGGGCCTAATGGACGTTGAATCAAATGACAGTAGAACCGTAAGGAGATTAAGTCGAGCACCGCCGCCTTAACTCATCTTTCCATTGAGGTCTCAAATTCAGTGGAAACACTCAGTGGATAACTGATTAATAAAAATTATTATAGCTCAACCGTCATTTATCTCAAGCACAAGGCTCATTTGCCCGAGTAGAAACGAGGACTTGTGGCATTACCCTTACACGGTCACTGGAGATAAAGAGGGCTGATAAGAGTCAGTTCAATCGCAATCAAATCTGATTACGACGCTCGAAGGTTGCAAATTAATGGACGATTAAAAGACCCAAGGATGTCCCGATTGCCTGGGTGTACATAATAATAGAACGCCGACGGAGCAGTATGAGATACATGTTAATAAAATCGCTTCGAGTTCCTCCCCCTTAGTTAATCTCTCAATCTTTCCCCTTACAAATACAACGTGAATGTAAAATAAGAACATTCTAATCATTCTGGTATAACAGTCTTTTTGTGGTCCTAATCGAAGTGAATCTGCTCTTATTCGTTTTATGCTAATGCCATTCAATAATGCACCCACTCAGATTTAATTACGAAGATTGGTTGCTCTCACTTCGACAATCTTACACGTGTACTTTACCGGTATTTCTCTTCTCCTGTACTTGCATTGAAGGCATAGGGGCAGTTGCTTTCGTTTGTGTAAATGATTAAGACAACTTTGCTTTACAGTGTATATCTGTGCTCCTACACTTGTTTTGAGCGCAAATATCTCCTCGGGCCGCGTTACTTGTTATAGACCCTGTTCAATATATGTGTAGTGCTCAAAATTTATGACATGACATGATCTTCTTGCAGCCAACCGAATATTATATATATATATCTATATATATCTATATATATATATATATATATATATATATATATTCTTTTGTTCCTCGTTTTTGTCAATATTGGGTCTGGTAAGCAAGGGCATCTCATATATGAGATTCATTAGAAAACATGCCATATTTAGCATGACATGTTGCTCGCTTGTCTCTGTCTCTGTGGACGGGATTTGACCATTGACATTATCCCTTTTAATTACCAGTTTCGTTTCGCAAAAAGTCGCCGACCTGAAGACGTAATGGATTGTTTTGACTTATCAGCTATTAACTTTGGCTCTGTGAAAGCAATCATATTTGGTCTGTATCTTTTGTAAGTATTTGTAACTCGATATTGACAGTACTCTTTCAAATTTTTCAATCGAATGCACCCCAGTGGATATAATTTGACATAAACTTCATTCCGCTTTGATATCCTAGCCCAGAGTTCTTATCATTTGTGTCGTTAGTTCTATTATTACAACTCTCATGCGTTTCTGGTGAATATTTTTTTGGTGCCAGAAATCGTCTACCGTGGTAGAAAAGAAGCTGTTCACTTTTTTATCATTTCAATTTTTTCTGAATATATGTCTATGAATATTTTAGAATTTATATACATGTAGATGTCCTCTACAGGGGAAAGATAGAAAGAAAGAAAGAAAGATAGATAGATAGATAGATAGATAGATAGATAGATAGATAGATAGATAGATAGTTGCACACATACAGCAAAGTCCACAATAAAAGATACTCCCACATCAAATGACCGCGGTGTTAGGAGCATGTTAGACTATATGTTTTGCAATGCAACAATAAATTTGTGCAGAACTGTAGGCAGTCTGCTATTTAAAATCAAGGGGAAGTTATTGAGCGATTGCACTCGCGGTGAAGAGAGAAACGTGTTCAAGCAACAGAATACTAAGAACTATTAGAGAAACATCGTGCATCTCGTCGTTCCAATCATTTCCGTCGCCTGCCAGTTTGAATTTTGAAAATACCCGTGAATTCATTTCTTGCCTGGCGTCAAATCGGATTAATTCCAGTAATCAGGAAAGAATCTCAAACAGAGCCACTTATTTGCACAATCCTAGATAAATGCTTTTTTCTCCAAACAATAACAATGACATAAAACGCCGTTAGATGGCCTTCATTAAATCCATAAATCGTAGTTGTTATTATTGAACATTATCTCGTCCATTTGTCTCGGCCTGTCTCTCTGATTGTCTTCTCTACTTTACTTTTCAGGCTTCATCGTATTCCAGTTGGGTCTTGAGGATGCTGTTAACTGTTTTCTATACTGTAATGGTCCGTCACAGGGGAGATGCAGAGGTCTGTGAAAACGCGAGGGCGATTACTAAA